TGAGGGATGGGGATAATAATAGTGTGGATTAAATGACCTTATAGATAAAAGTGCCTAGTACAATAACTGAAACACAGTAGGTTTTCAACAAATGGCAGTGATAGTTATTATTGATGATATACATATATTGGAATTTTTATCAGTATTAGTATTGGTATTAACAACAGTATTATATTAGAATATTTAATATTCTGTCTTCCTTCTATAAAGTTTTGCTAATCAATCAATTACAACACTAATTTTGGCTAGTCATTCATTTCTCTCTCATGGAAAATATCATTAGAAGTTCTAGTTATGGAAATTAAAACAAGTTGTTTATGACCTGGTATAAACAGCTAGGCAAGTGCTGATTATGCATAGCCTAGACAGCACTGAGCAAGATCTTCTCAAAAGGAATGGAAAAATTCATATCCAATTGTTGAAAGTTATTGCCCTCAGAAGGCAGCATTATAGGTGCTTTCTGAATTGGATGGAGGAGGTAGTACCATTTAGTCTTATAAAGTTTACTTGTGGTTGTCTAAAGCAGAGGTTCTTAATTATGATACTGGTTTGAACTTTTCTCTGCCTTATGATTCACACATTACTGGTAGCCAAGTACTTGAAAGTTCAACATTAAATTTATGTGTACTAAGGAAAGTGGTGGTTCCAGTTCCTAAAAGCTAAAATATTTTAAGATCCCTAACTATGGCCCATTGGGTAGTGAGAATGTTCCTAAGTGTCTTGGCCTGTGCAAAGCACAGTTTCTGAAGCAAGTGACTGTCATGGACTGGTCCATCTGGTCAACTGCTGCCCATCCCTGGATGCCACTTTTTTAGCTGATGTCATCAAAGAGCCCGTAATCCGTAAAAAAATTTTTTGTGAGTGCTGGGGATCTAAGGCAGGGACTGGAGAAAAGTGTTATTTTCCCATTACATGGTTGCCCTGTCCAAAAAGGCATTGGCCAACTGACTTCAACCTAGTTCTGCAGTGTATGGAGGAATCAGGGGCGAGAGTTGAAGAGGTTGGCGAATAAATGTGGCTGGGGAGGGTCGGGCTGGGAGAAGGAACATTCATACAGTCATCAATCTACTTTATGCTATTAAACCACTGCAGCTCAGATGTAAGCCTGGACTCCATGGGAATATGCTTGATTTGGGGTTGAGAGTAGTGACCGCATTTATCACGAGGGTCAGAGGAAAGGGAGTGAGAGGCGTTTCAAAGGTCATGGCTAGGCCCTGCTCCTGATACCATTCTCCACATAGACTTGGTCTCAAAGTGGGCCTTTTCCCCCAGGGGCTGTGCACCATGTGACAGCTACAAATACTTTAAAGAGGAGGTTATAAGGCAACACTGTAGAATGTAGTTTGAAATTCTCATTTATGAAAGGATGACTACCTATATTAATAAGGTACTCTTGCAAATTTTTTAAAAACCAGAGTTAAAATTATACTTATAATACTGCTATGTTCACTTATACGTCCACATACTTTCTTGAGTAGGAGAGAAGGTAAGAAGTGCACAGAGCTCTGAATATCCCCATGGGAGTGTGCCAGGCACAAGAGTATCAGCATTATTCGGAACAGCTGCTCCAGTGCTTTCTCTGACCAACTTTTTTTTTTTTTCTATTGGGTGTTCTGTCTTTTGAGAGGAGAAATTGCAGATACAAGATTTATGAAATTTCCAATATGCTAGTATAAAATTATTGAGCTGTGGGTATCACAGCTTTCCTCATTCCCCCTTGGTTGCCTTAATTTCTTCCCCTTTTACTATTCTGTCAAGAGAAAGGATAAAAGCTTCTCACGTGAATTGTTGAGAAAAAAGCAATTAGAGTGGAATAAAAACCATGGGGACCTAGTGGATGGGAGAGTCATGTCAGTATAGAAGTGTGAGAGAACCCTGGGAGGCTGGGGATACTCGAGAGTCTAATGAGTAGAGGTGAGTTTAATCAGAGTTGCTGTGGATTTTACCCTTAAACTCCTTTACCTGTTTGAGAGAGAAATGGGTGGAGAGATTGAAATTCTACTCTGTCATGTTTCCTTAATCCAACATCACACTAAGACAGATGACTGGGCTTTGGGACACGGGGGATGGACAGTGCCACAGTTTTATAAGCATAAAACAAACCACACATTCTTCAGCTAACATCGCTATCCTTCACACCATGTCTCTTCCCCTTAAACAGCCTTAGCTCTCTGGGATCAGGGACAGGGTGGGTGGATGGCATTGGAGGTGTAGGGGTTGACAGGGGTAACCCACTCAGGCTGCTGTGAAAATAAGAATGGTGATAACAGTTCAGTCATGGTACCCGTGGAACTCTGTTTCCCTTTGTTTCTCCAAGAAAAGCATATTAAAGGCAGAAAATACTAGCACATAGATCTTTGTCAGAAACAAGGATAGCAAATCAGTCACAGAAACTTCCATTTGGTCTCCCAGATATTAGACTTCAGAGTCGAATCAAACTGCCCACTTTATATCAAGTACCCAACTCTTGCCCGTGTGGGGTGGTGCCATCACCAACTTGCCATTTGCTGGCCTGTCCACAGCATGACTGCACATCCCATTAAACCACACACTTCTGGCCCCGTGACACAAGCCCTCATGTTGACTTTACCTCCGGATCATTTTGACTTTTTGTCATTTTCTCATCTTAGAGTCTTCATCAGTATTTTCCAACTATTCATAATCTTGAAAAAGCAGGGAAGAAATTGTTTTATCTGCTTTTCTTCAAAAAGAAGGCTCTTACCTGCCTGCTTCTACAGCCATAGAACAGTTCGAGAGCTCTGTTGATGGGCACTGGCTGTGGGGTCCATTAACCCTATACCACAATGAGAGGCTCAGATTAAATGAGTTCAGTTTATAGATAACCAAAGTTCTTTTCCACTAATGCACACTCACTGCATTAGCTCTTTCTCTTCAATGTCAATGCATGCCCATCTCTTCAATAAAACATAAAAACAAAAACCAAGAAACATTTTCTCTAACTACTTCTCTTTCCCTTCAAAGACAGGCTTCTTAGTACTTTATACTGCTTTTCTCTGACCTCATATTTACTGCTGCTCCATTGCAATCTGTCTTACACACTTTTATTCAAATGCTCTTGCTAAGGCTGCCCATAAATACCTGACCACTTTGCTGCTAAATTCGATGGGCCCACTTCACTTTTTATCTGGCTGAAGCTTTGTGAAGACTTGGACATTACACTCCTTGAAACTCTCCCCATTTTTGGCTTCTATGACACTGCTCTTTCCCGACTTCTGTTATTACCGGTCTGGCTCTTCTTTCTTGGTCTCCTTTGGGTACTCTCCTTCAGCTCATTTCTTAAATCTTGGTGTTCCAGAGAACACCCTTCCCTCTTTCCCTCTGTTAATTTTCATACCTTATAGTCTCCATGGGCCATCTCAACTATGTGTGAATCTTCAGCTATAGTCTCTATGTTGATGATCTTCAAATCTTCAGCCCAGATCTTTCCACCTGAGGTTCAACCTACAAATATAACTGCCTATTGTACATCTCCACCTACCTGCCCCACAGTTATCTTCAATTCAGCTTACTTGAAATGGTCTCATTTCTATTCCAAAACCCTATCCTTCTTCTCTCTTAGTGGTAATATTATCAGCCAGGTTGTCTAAGAAAGTAACTTGACAGAATCCTTGACTCTTTTCTCTCCTCCCCGCTCCATATTCAATCAATGACCAAGACACATTGTTCTCCTTGCCTCAGAACAAATCCATCCTCTTACCTCCTGACCCCAAACTTATTCCCATTTCATGAGTTAGGCCCTAATCTTTTCTAGCTTGGGTTTCTGTAAACATACAACTGTCTGTTTCTAGTCTTGTTCCTTGTTTTGCACTCAGTCTAAATCAGCTCTAGAGCTATCTTTTAGAAATGCAAATATGATCCTGCCATTCTCTTGCTTAAAATCCTTCATTGGGTGCCCTTTAATGTAAAATCCTAAGTCGTTTCCCCCCCTGCCCCCGCTGGCCCCCGCCGCCCTTTACTGCTTCCTCTGTTGGACTGCTTTAGGGAAGATGGGCTAGAGTAATAGTTTAATCTCTAGCTATTTCATGCTTGGCTTCACTTTATAGAGGCTGCCAATTAGTGATTTAGAGGTGAACTCTTATGTGCTCTGCAGTGAACTGAGGGCCTGCTTAAGTAGTCCTTGAAGAGCCTTTGGCCTTATTGTCACAAAAAACCTGCACTGACTTGAACCTGTGATCTAAAGTTGAACATCTGTATATTCTGTTGGCCGTCCCCTGAGTTAGGAAAGTGAGCTTTGGAAATGCTTTGGTTATTTCTAAATCCAATTTGGCCTAAATACATATATTCTCAATTCAATACTATTTTAAATGTAATTTTTTCAGAAATAGGTAATAGTGTTTTTTTTTTTTTCCTTCTACTCTCCTCTTCTTATAATTGCTTTTTATAGAGAGGTGAGTAGATCTTCTCAACTCTACTGACTTTTATAAAATGGTATATGAGTGCCTTCATTTTCTTGTCTTGTCATCTGTCTTTTTCTGGTTTTAGAAATGGAAAGTAACAACAGCTGGGTATGATCATATCAGCAGGAAACATCCTCACTCCTGGCTGATTCACAAATTGCCCCTGTCTTGCTTGCCATTTCAAATAGAGGGACAGAACATAGAATGGACAAGAAAATTAAAAAAGCTACAGATACACACAAATCCTACTTACAGAGGTAAGGCAGGATCAGTAAATAAAGAAAGGATATACAAATACCAAAGACCCCCACAAGAAAAAAAATATAACGAAAGTAACTCAGAGAAATTAGATACGGAGAGAACAAAAGGAGAATCTGTTTTCTTAAGACAAAAAACCCATTTAAAAATGTTCATTGTTTTTTTCACAGCTGATAAATAAAACATGGTTTGTATAAAATATTCTAAAAGGTCAACAACTAGACAGTTATGATGGTAAACTTTCTCCTCTCTACCTGTTAGTCTTGTCTATAGCCTGAAAGAAATAACCGTCGAGGAGAAGAAAATCAACAGTATGCATCTTACACAAGGATGTCCTCCACCAGGGTGTGAAGGGCACTGGGATTGCGGATCAGTTTGTCAAGGAAGCTGACAATGTCGGTAAATTTTGGTCTGTGATTTCTCTCCTTCTGCCAACAATGAAGCATCAGCTGGTGTAGAGATGCTGGACAGCCCATGGGAGCCGGAAGTCTGTAACCTTCTTCAATGGACAGAATGACCTAAATGCAAACACACACAGGTTAGTTTCTTACTTTTTGGGACAAATAACACAACATATGCTAAGTTATAATTCCTTTTTTATTTTAAAGATTTTATTTATTTATTTGACAGAGAGAGAGAGACAGCGAGAGAGGGAACACAAGCAGGGGAGAGAGAGAGAGAGAAGCAGGCTCCCCACTGAGGAGGGAGCCTGATGTGGGGCTCGATCCCAGGACCCCGGGATCATGACCTGAGCCGAAGGCAGATGCTTAACGGCTGAGCCACCCAGGCACCCCAATAATTCCTTTTTATACAGGAAGTAGAAGCCAAAATATTGGTAAGCATGAAAACTTATGGGTACAAGCAGCCCAAACAAAGATAAATACAAAAGTTGCAAGTATCTACATTAATATCTGCTGACATCTCTTTGAGGGAAATACATTTTTAAACATGTGGTATTCAGAAGGGAGGTTAAGTTTCATCACGATTTCGAGAAATAGTTCCTGTGTGATTTAGCTGGAACGTTTCAAAACCCAATTAGGACTTCAGAAAGTCAGCATAAGATTGGTACGTTTTATGCAAGCCACATGTGACAAATGTGTTAAGTAAAATTGTACCTCTGTTGAAGCACTGAACTCCTGAGTCATTTGTTATCCTTTTGTGATAATGTCAGTACGTATTCTTTTGCTGGCTATCATTCCTTCTTCCTTCTTTATTGCCTATTTAATTTCTCTTTGCTTACTTCTGCCTTTCCCTTAGTCTGACCCCGATGTGATTATGAAGTCCTCTCAGAACTTCTAAGGTCATTCAATCCTTCAAATGTTATCGGTGGCTGGCCTAAGAACATCGCGCAACAGGATCGTTCAAGTCTGCATATCCTCGGGGCCAGCGTTCTCCAATAGAACTTTTTGTTCTCTCTGTCCAACATGATAGCAAGTAGTCACATGTGGCTGTTGACTGCTTGAAATGTGGCTAATAAGACTGAGGAACTGAATTTTGTGTTTTAGTTCATTTTAATTCATTAAAATTTAAATAGCCACGTGTGGCTGGTGGTTACTATATAGGACAGAGAGGCTCTAGGGAAAGGAATCTCTATAAGAAGCCGAGCTAAGGGTAACAATATGATGACAACAAGGTGTTTTTTTTTTTTGAACTCAGGAAATCATATATAGGATAAGGCAGGAAAGTCATCTATTTCATCTACGGCCCACCTGGGAATCTCCTAATAATGCAATATAGTATACTGCAATAATGCAATTCTGAATTTATATAGCTTATTTTTTATGATGTGTTCAAAGTATTCATGTGGTCCTTTATCTTTTTTAAAATATTTTATTTATTTATTTTATAGAGAGAAAGAGCATGAGTGGGGAGAGAAGCAGAGGGAAAGGAGAGATAATCTGGAGAAGACTCTGCGCTGAGTGTGGAGCCCAACATGGGGCTCGATCTCACGACCTCGAGATCACGACCTGACACCAAGAGTCAGCTGCTTAACCAACTGAGCCACCCAGGTGCCCCATCATGTGACCCTTTATTCTTATATCATCTCTGGGAGAAAGAAAAAGGAAAGGCTCCATTCCCCATTTTTGAGGTGGGCAGTTGAGGAACAGACTAATAGTTAAAGACAGGCACAACTCAACCTCATCACTGTCCTCCATCAACAACAGAAATACAAAAATGCAAGTGCTAAGATTGCTAACCGGAGATCTCTCTTTATTGTTGCATCAGCTACACACTTTCTGTAATTCGAAAAACACATCTTACTTTCTTTTTTAATTGACACTATTTGACAGGACTCTGAAGTATCCATAATTCATGCTAGAGGCAGTTTGCAAAAAGGAGCAATAATATGCCTACAAGAACCTCTTAACTGCTAAGCTTTAGCTTTCTGGTAATAGGGAACTTCTCATAATCCCATCAGTGTCTTTGTGACCAGAACATTTAACCTGTCAGGATACTAGCATTTTTGTATTCATTTTATCCCATTATTGAACAGGAGTTTTTCTTTCTTTCTTTTTTTTTTTAAAGATTTTATTTATTTATTCATGAGAGACAGAGAGAGAGAGAGGCAGAGGGAGAAGCAGGCTCCCAAGGAGCAGAGAGCCCGATGCGGGACTCGATCCCAGGACCCTGGGATCATGACCTGAGCCGAAGGCAGACGCTCAACCATCTGAGCCACCCAGGCGCCCGAACAGGATTTTTTCTTATCTGTTTCCTGATTATTTTTGCTGCCAACTAGGCTTGGATTTTAAGACCTTTTGCAACACATTTTAGTAAAACAGGATATATGTAAAATGCTTGTATAGCATAAAACTACCGTGGATAGTTCTGAAAAGTAGCTAAGAAATAGGATAGAATTCCATTATAAAAAGACTTTAAAATCCCACCCTATAAGAGCACTCTAGTTGATTTACCACAGTTACCTAATTATAAGTGCATAGAATAAAATAGATGACAAGTGAGGTTATATTTTGAGAAAAAAATATTAGCTGCTTTTATTGAGTATCTATCATGTGCTAGGTGATTTGCATCTTTTTCTTCATTGACTGCTTAAAATAACTCAATATGATAGTTGTTATTATCCCTATTCTTTTTTTTTTTTTTAAGTGGAGCCCAACCTGGGACTTGAACTCATGACCCTGAGTTCAAGACCAAGCTAAGATCAAGAGTTGGACGTTTAACCGACTAAGCCACCAAGGTGCCCCTTATTGTCCTTATTCTTAAGTGAAAAAAAATTTAGACTCAGAGAGGTTAGGAAAATTTCCTAAATTGACACAGTCTAGATGGCAGAGCTAGCATTTAAACTGAGTTCCAGTAGCTTCCAAACTTCTTCTCTGACCATTCCCCAGAAATGCTTTTCAGTTCTCATGATAAATCCTCCTTTCCAATTTTATATCAATTAACAGGATTTTAGGAGTGATTTCCATGTTACCTTTTGTCATAGCACCTGGTAATTTGACTTCATTGTTTTTATTCGGATCTTAAATTTTATATTCTGGGTAAATCAAACACATACTTACTTCATAGTTTGCAAAATTTTATCTCAGCCTGAACAGAGTCATTTCTGAATGCTTCTGAGTCTTGTACACATTTCTATTATTTCATCTATTACATTGTATTGTAACTATTCATCTGCTTTTCCGCTAGGGCTATACATACTTGAAAGCAGGAATTATGTCTGTAGATTTTACATTCTCATCATTTAGTATGGTGCCTGACACATTAATAAATGTTATTGAACAAAACCAAAGCTATTAGAAGAAATTTTTGGATTTGTTTTGATAGAGCAGCAGATTCTTAGAAAACCTGAAGTTTTAAACTACCCAAGATGGATTCAAATTATGAGCATGGCAGCATTTGAAATCCCCTCTGAAGGAAAGAAGTATTAATCAAAAATTGGTGCATCAAGCAGCATTCTCCAAAATGATCTCATGATCTCACTTTGGTTTGCCTGGACAATGATGAGTGAGACCGGGGCTTGCTATTCTCCAGGAGAGGAGGACTGGACTCAAACTCAGCTTTCTGTAAGACTGGTGGCTTCTTCCTCCTGTCTAGAGGGGTTACTATTTCCCAGTGGCTTCATGGTCCTTAGTTGACTTTCCTAGACAGCTCCTGTAAATAATTAACGCCTAATGCAGACTGCTTTGTGCCAAGTGGGTTGTTCATATTCTCTTTGACAAAATTGCTCTCATAATTGTCCTGTAAAAGGAGAGTGTGGTCCCTTGTCTGGAACCTTCACCCATAATGAGTTCAGCGGTGTTTCTGGCCACAGGATGCTTTTCTGTGGGGACAGTGACCTTTTCTTCTTGCTGACCTCTGACTTTTACATTTCCTTAATTTTTTAACTTGTGACTTTGTAAAATTTGTTGAGCCCTGTATCATGTCAGGTGTCATACATAAAGGATCCTTGTAGGATAATAGTAACAACAGTAACAACAGTGACAATAACAGCTATTAGTGAGAACTCTTGGATACTTCCAGGTATCCGTTCTAAATGATTTACATGTATCAACTCTTTTAATCCTCATAATAACCCTGTGAGGTAGGTATTATTGTTATCCCTATCTTACAGACAAGGAATGTAAATAGAGAGAGGTTTAACTTGCCCAAGATTGCACTCCTAAAAATTCTAGCTTTGAGGGAGCCAGAAGAAGAGATTTAAGCAATATGATCCACAAAATGGTTAAAAGACATCTTTTTAATGGATTTTTAAATTTATTCATCCAAAGAGATATATATTAACCATTTAACATGTACTATTTTTTAAAAAAATTTTATTTTATTATGTTATTAGTCAACATACATTACATCATTAGTTTTTGATGTAGTGTTCCATGATTCATTGTTTGCGTATAACAACCAGTGCTCCATTCAATACGTGCCCTCCTTAATACCCATCACCAGGCTAACCCATCCCCCCACCCCCTCCCCTCTAGAACTCTCAGTTTGTTTCTCAGAGTCCATAGTCTCTCATAACATGTACTATTGGGCATGCTATGTATAAGAGGTAACAAATGGGTAAGAAGTATCTGTCTTTAGGAAACATATAATCTAGTGAAGAAGACTGGGGAGTTTGACTATTGTAAATGCCAAGTTGAACAGGGAGTTATGGGGTATGTGGAAGAACTGCCTAACCTAACCTTCTCGGTGGAGGTGAGCTGGATCTCACAGGAAATGTAGAAGGTTAGCAGGGTCAACTGGATAGGTTGAAGGGAGGAGATGGGACCTGATCAGAGAATGAAAGATTTGTGCAGCTAGAATATAGCCTTCAAAGGCTCTATTATTGTTCAAAGGCTGGGAGGTTAAGTAAAAACTATATTTCTTAGGATCATGAGTGATTTTGTACATTGGCTACAAATGACTTTTTGCAAAGAGAAAAGGGTTTTAGCAAGTAAATGACATTAGATTTGCCTTTGGGAAGCTCGCTCTAGCTTCAGTGTGGAGAGCATGTTGGAAGGAGAAGGAGGCCAGGAATGAGGCTTGCAATGATCCAGGCAAGATATCAGGATGGCCTCAGTAG